ATAACTCAGCACTCTTGTGATAACTTTCGTAACGCGTACTGCGGCGTAAAACAGCAGTTATCCAACAAAAACAGCTAAAGCTACTATTTCTCGTGTAATAAAAAAAAGCTAAGGGGAAGCATTCTGCCTACGCCTAGCGGGGAGGGGGGGGGGAACTCTGCGGTACATATAATGGTCCCCCACTATGGAGTTCCTTTCCCCTTCCGCTCGGTGAAAAGGTGCTGATGTAGTTGAGGGAGGCTATGCGGTGGTGCCACTACGTGCTCTCTGCGAGACTAGGCCTCGACGGCTGTGGTCGTCTGTGCTCCACCAAGACTTAGCCTTGACAAAAGGAAGAACGCAGAAGCACCGTCATGGCCCGTCTGAACTAACAGTGGATTGGTGCCAATCCTCATCCCATCCTTACAATTTTTTCTTCTATTATTCCGGTATTCAGTGCCATCCAACGTAGAACAAGTGGTGCTGTTCGGCTCAGGAGGGCAGGAAGGGGGGGGGGGGGGGTGCGTGTGCACTTTCGCCTGTGCTTCTGCTATTAAAGGCAGTGCGCACGATCACCAGGGGCGAGCGGCTGTTGCCAGCGCCACTCGGGAACGGGTTGCGAGAGGGCGTTGGCCACACCTTTCCAGCCCCCTCCCCTCCAATGACACTGGTGACATTCCCCAGCCGTACACGTTGCCTTTAACTAATATTCTCACTAAAACGAAGCCCTGGTGAAGCTGCAAAATGGTGCAAATGAATGCCCTGCACACCCTTCGCTGAGTACGATATAGTACCCCCACCAGGCCTAACTGCTCCGAAATGGGTGAAATGGTGTGGAAACGAGCTCTCGAGATTCTAAACAACACAACATGCAGAACTTAAAGACACATGGTACGCTCAAACACATTGAGGGTGTATGAGACTATCAGCCCCCCAGCTGTCGATGTGTCGTGGTCCCCCCGCCCAAAACTGCACGGGGTCAGAGTACGGGCCGTGGGAAAGTCGTAATTCCTTGCTACGCCGCCCGTTTTTGCAAACTCACGTTTTTACTAACACCGTCCGCGCGGCGCGGTCGCGTGCAGCTCTCTTGGCTTTTTGCCAAGTCCTGTAATTGCGCTTTGGAATACAAGTACAACGCAAATTCCTTTATGTGGATAACGTTTTTAAGGTTCTGCAAATAAGAATTGAAGGATGATGGACGAGGCTAGAACTCAAGAGCAACTGTGCTGCTTCTGCAACAGCCCTCGCAGGCCGCGCATTCCCACAAAACATCAAAATAAAAACGGCCTAAGCGTCCCACTCGTTAGTTTGAAGTATTTCTATAGCATTAGAGCCGGATTCGAGCCGGATCGCAGAAATGCACACGTGATTTTATTTATTGGCGTTCCTTATTTTTTTTCCCCATTTATTTTATTTTTCATCTGCTATTGTGTTGTTATTCATTTCTAGCCTTTGTCATCTTCATCACCTTCTATTCGGACTTTGAAGCATGAGCAATACCTCAAATGTTAGGAAATTGCGTTTTGCTTGTATTGTCATGTTTTATTGTCATGTTGTCCGTTTTTATTGTCATGTTCTGTGGGAATGCGCGGCCTCTGAGGGATATTGCAGAAGCACCACAGTTGCTCTAGTCTAGCCCTTGTCATCATCTTCGGTTCTTATTTTGCAGCACCTAAAATGTTATCCGCATAAAGAAATTGCGTTGTACTTGTATTCCAAAGCGCAATTACAGGACTTGGCAAAAAGCCAAGAGAGCTGCACGCGACCGCGCCGCGCGATGGTGTTGCATAAACGTAAGGGTTGTAGCAAGGAAATTACGACTTTCCCACGACCGCCGTAACTCTTGACCCGTGCAGTTTTGGCGCTGGAGGACCTACGACACTCGACAACTGGGACAGATAGTCATCATACACGCCTCCACATGGTGTTTTGAAGGCGTACATGCAGAACTTAAGTTACAGTAATCCATGGAAATGTCTCTGCAAACTGCCCCGGTACATAGGAGTAGGACGACGTTATGTTCTTAGTGTCAGGTTTTCTTCGCTAACTCTCTCATTTTGAAGGACGACGCTGACATGGAAGGCTCCGGAATCATCGCCAGATATCCGTTATCGTGTGCACTGCAGCCAAGTGATGAGTGGTCACGAGTCCGAAGAGACCGTGAGCGAAACCGGCGAATGTCATTACTCGTTAGCATTACTCGATCACGCTAAGCAATTCACATGCAGGGTATGTTGATGAAGTACTGCATTTCGGTTCTTGTATGGTGGGCCTTTTACTATGAGAAGGATGCGTTTTGAATTGTGGTCGATATCCCTGCGTCTGCGAGGAACGAAGGGCGAAACCTTCTGTTTTTGGTGTCAGTGACCTTCATTGGTTTCACTTGTACTTTCGAGAATCCGGGGAATTTCCATCGTGCAGGCCAGAAGTGCTTTATGCGTGGAAGAAAAACTTTATGGGAATGCGAGGGACTTTGCAGACAACGATCAACCTTCCTTTTGTAATGGGGGCTTCCTTTCACTCTGATATGATTGTTCCCTAGTTATAATTGAGAAGTATGGCTCCATTAAGGAGAATCATTGCCAAAAAAGTCATTGGCGCTATTTCAGCTGAGACTAGAGGGGGAGGACGCGTAGACCCGACTAAGGCCGCTTCTCTTTGCCCGGGACGAGCTCGTGCAAACCCTGGTCGTCTGTGCTGTTTTCGGTCCGGTCCTCAGAAGAAAGTGATTGCTGATTCGCTTTCGAAGATCATAGCAAAAGTCAATTTTGCCCAAGGGTCACCCACCGTTTGAGGACGGGGCCTGGGAACGTCCTCAGCCGTTTTCGGTTCTTGACCCTATGACCCACCAAGTGGGCTTCTTTGCACTGTTTTTGTTTTCCTTCGTAAATTTCTTCTCTATGGGAGTTTTTTCAGGTGTCAGCATTTCACGACGGCGGCGAATCGCCTCTTTCACAACCACTTGTTTTCACCACTCGTAGCGGAGCACCAGCACAGCCCGATGGTACGTAATTTTCTACTTTCGAAGAAGATATTAGTAGTTGGTAATAGTATGGGAAACAAGATATTGTCCTACCATGCCATTCTACAAGTAAATTTAGGTGTCACCATTGAGTCCGACGGTACCAGGGCGCTGGTAATCCGCTGGTCTGTACCCGATTGCCGTGGCTCACCAATCACGCAATATCTGCTTCGAGTGGAAACCAAGAGCGAGGTTCTTTCTTATGATTAAAAATCGCAGTATCGCAAATCAGATATTTTTTGATCTTGTCAACCTCTGAGAACTGATATCCTAACAGTGCTTCCAGATGGTGCGTGAAATTTCCATCACTCCACCGGCCAGTTCGGGCTCATGCGAATACCGTATAGCGGATCTGCAAGCCGATACTGACTACAGAGTTGAACTGTCCGCTGAAAACGCTGTTGGATGTGGTATAGCGGCCGCAATTGCGGGACGAACACGTCCACCTCCACCGGATCCACCAAAGTATGTCTTTCACGCACATTCAAAATGAAAAGGTTACTCACTGGGCAGGTTTGAAAGGGAGATTAGGCATGTTGTAGGATGTTTAATTGCAGTTGTATATCACAATTTTCCTTAAATTATCATCATGCTGGGGTGTACGTATTTGCGATGTGCTGACATACAGCGCAGAGTCACAGGCAAGAGACGAGAAGTCGGATATTGGGTTAAACGCGCATGCAAAATGACATTATATCCCAGCTATATATCGACCTGACAAGAATGAGGAAAAGGCACGCGAGCTTGACCCTTCAACTTGACGCGTAGGTTCCGCTTGTCCCGACGCGCTTGTCCCCACAAGGGGACAAATAGTGTCTGAGGGTTAAGACGCTAGTTGATGCAGTTGTGTGTCTATCTTAGATAGTGATCCACTTCAATGGCTGGACCAGTTTGCTAGAGACTTAGGCCTTTTGATTTCGGGAAGTAATTTTTAAGCTTTATTTAAAGGATCGAATGCGAATGCGATGCGACCAGTCTTCGCCTGCGTTGGAAACCGTCTACGAATCATGGGCTTCTCACTTACAAGTATGTTCTATTCTTCTTATGTGACCATGCAACCAATGTATTCATACGGCTGCGACGCATGCGGTTGCAGCGCGGTTGTTAATTTCACAAAAATGCTCCCAGTTTTCAGAGTGGTTCGTCTCGGCGATGGAGATAAGGTCATCTCGGTTTATGAAGGCGATATGTGTAGCACACGTATAAAAGGACTCGTTGAAAACACCGAATATCGATTCCAAATCAGAAGCACTGATCGGTAGGCATGCTTGTCATTTTCAGTGGGGGACATGCTTTACGACTGCTTTTCGCTACGACCTCTTGCCGCGCACGAAGACAGAGAAGGCAGCTTTCAGACTTTGCGACCAGCGCTTGGATCGCGCGTTTGACGCGATCGATGCAGTAGAAAGCATGCGCATCGATCGCGCCGAATGCGCGACCGAAGCGCTGCCGTCGCGAAGTCTGAACGCTGCCGTTTATGCTAACGTTTATGCTCGTTCTCCGAGTTCCCATTATATTTATCCGCATGGTCAATCCTGGTTCAAATTATGAGTATTTTGTTCCACAGGCTTTAACAAGCTCGAGTCAGCCACTACTTAAGGGAGCAATTGGGATGGCTACAAACAGTCTTGCTCGCGGATGCTGGGGCCTGTCAAGGGCCTGGATTCAATGCAGCACCAGCCTTTCCAGCAATTATTTCGTTTGCCTGCTTGAGTAATTGGTGGGGACGGGCTGGCGCCGTGCCGAACCCAGCCCCGCCCCTGGCACGCCTCAGTTTTCGTAGGGAACAAGACTGCATCATTTCTCACATGCGTTCCAGCAGAAGAAGCCTGGCCATTGGTGATGCTGCTATAACCCGGGATGGGGAATGGTCCATCCCCGCTACGCCATTGCTCGCGAGCTCTCGCTAGTAATATATAGAGCTGAATTGTGGGCGAAATACTTGGCCTCGTCCAAGACTCGAACCTGGACCTCACGCTTACACGGCTATTTGGTTACCACTACTTTATCCCTCCATTCTCTCTCATCTCCCTTTGGCAAATCTCTTGGATTTTCATTCTCTTCTTATATTACTTTGAAAACAGTGGTTTTAGGCATACTGGAACTGGGCCATGGTCCTCGGTGTATGCGTTCCGAACAGCGCTCAGCCCACCCCCTGCTGTCAAAGGACCACCAACAGCAACGCCAAGCGGTTAGCTAACTTTGAGCGGGATTCAAGAATCAACAGGCATTAAGCTTCTATCTTAGGTGATGGCTACTATCAACTTGAATGGTCATCGGTCATCACTAAACCGAATACAAAGAAATGCTTCTATCGCCTGCAAGCAGTTGACTGTTCTATCGATAACGCTAAATGGATGACGGTCAGTTTCTAACCCTTTGCTCTGGCCCAGAATGGGACCATTTATTTTGTCTGTACTACATATAAATTTCCATATTCAAAGGTTTACGAGGGCACCCTACCTTCTCATACACTTCGTCTTTCGGATTATCCGTCAGCAGTACAAGCACGTGTGATGTGCGTACGACCAGAGGGTGAAAGTGAAATCTCTTCACCGCCTAGTCCAATTGTGTACATGGCGAATCTTCCCCTAGACAACGATGTTCAGGTAAATCTTAGCTGTGAGCGTCAGTTATGCAACAGAATCTGCAGAAGGAGTAATGAGGAGGATTTCAGCCTATCCAGGAGAAGAAGGTCGATACGATTCCGGTTGTACGTTGGTGGACAATGCAATGCAGTTTGACCACCATCATGGTGGTAAGTTGTTCTTTCGGAACAGAAACGTTTCTAGATGTAGTCTTTACCAATTGAGCTCACCAGCTAGTTAATCTGATTGGAACCCGTTCTTCTCCGTCCTGAACGCATAAGTCCTACTGTTGAGTGGTCAACTACGCTTTCCGTTGCCGGAGATCTGATCTACGAACGAAAAAAAGGGAAAACGTCACCGTGGTTAAAGTGATTTATAAGTTTGGGAAGCTCCATCAGTACTTCAGACTGGTCATTCATGCCAGGGTTGGAAATTCGTGCGAAGACTATCTTATTTCCTCCCTTTCTATTTTTGCAGTCCATCTTGTTTTCTTTAGCAGTACCCCTCCCCCTGTTGTTTGGAGGAGGGTGGCGCTAATTTCACTTTCCACCCGGCAAGGGGCCAGGGATTGCCCTAGCGAGAACTGAGTGGGTTTTGTGTGCAGTCGCTGCTCCTACGCAAACTGTTCTACGCGCGGTTTAGGGCGCTCTCTGTATTCCGTCTGTTTTCATGAACTGGTAATGTGGTGCTGTTTTTTGCAAAAATTTAGTGGCTTGATTATTTGGGCGAGTTGACCAGGATTCTTGGACGCGCGCTTGACCCTCGCCATGACGCGTCTGTGGCAATGTGATGCGTCATGCACCATACATTCTCTCATCATCAATCTCTCCTTATCGCTCGTCTTGCCTCTGCTTCCCTGGCTCTTTAAGGTTTTCCATAGTTCATAGCTTTATCTCACACTACCCCCCCCCTTCCTTCTTTTTTTTCTATCTCCTTCATTTTCTGTACATCTCTTTCCGACTGCGGCTTTCTCCTCCTCGTTTTTCCTGTCAAACAGTATTCACTTTATCTGGATTACTCAGAACCTATCCTTTCCTCTGACTGGTCCAGTGGTATGGTGTCCCAGTAAAGCAGGTAGATCAAAGGCAGTGGGCACGATTGTTGGGCGGGCTGTTATAACCAAGGTCATTGGTGGAAGGGCTCCGCCGAGAGGGCGCTTGGACACACCCCACCCAGCCCTTTTACCAGTGACCTTGACAGTACCGCAGACCCCGGCCCGTGCCCATTGCCTTTAAATTCTGTTATTAACGCGTTGACGACAATCGCGTTTTGCGGGAAAGCGCCACGTGGGACAATGGCGTGCTTTCGCATGCGTCCGCCCTGAGCCACCGGTGGCTCATATTGTCCCTCGTGGACCACTTTTTTGCCGCTATGTCAAATTTCGCAAAATGATAAGTCAATCGTGTAGGGACTGCTATTTCAACCATCTTTGACCCTATTGGATGCCATCTCATGCCCCGCCCTCTGCGATCACGCCCACTTTTTAGCGCGATCGTGATTTCCAAAATGTGTACCATAACTTCCGTTTCTAAGAATTTTCTTGGAATTTTCTGCTTTTCACACATTACAATGATTCATAGATGGCCAC